TATGGATCTTCCTGATCCAGTCGAGCTGAGTCGATTTAGCTATGTATGTCCGTCCGTCCGTCCGTCCGTCTGTCCATGTTAATTTGTAATCACTCTACATGTTGCAATGATGGGCCAATCCTCATGAAATTGAAAATAGAGGTGGGGTTAAGGTCAGAATAGAACCCTATTTCTTTTGAAGATGATCGCATAATATTTAGGGGTTGAAATGGATCAAAAAAATCAAAAAATTTTCCTGTTTTTGCAGCTGCTCTACAGGTCGCTATTATAGGCAAATCGAAGCGAAGTTAGCAAGGAGGTCTAGCTTTGGGCTGGGCAGAAGCCTTCCAATTTTGATGGTCATCGGGTAACATTTAGTGGTTGAAATAGACCATAGCATTTGTGATAAATAAAAGTCAAATTTTCCATTAAAACGCGAACATTTTTAATGCCGGCGAAATCCCAAATAGACGAACAGGTCAATTCTGACCGTTACGTAGATGACGATAATTAAAATATCGGATATATATAGCGAAATATATACAATGTATATATACAAAGGAAGGGGATGTTAGCTAGAATGCTTATATCTCCAGAATGGCTGGAGCGATTTTGACAAATTTTGTAAAATTAGAATACCCTTTTGGCATAAAAGTATAAAATCTAAAAAAGTCGCATTAAAAGATGCCAATAATGATGTTAATATAGATTTTGTAGTATTTTGTGACATTTTTTAATTTTTTCATATTTTTTATCGCATGCGATTTTTTTAATTTGACTTATTATATTGAAGTGTACATTTTGCAATATTTTCTCACCTTACAACACAGGTTGGGGCTATTATATACAGATTGCAATTATCGTCCGATTATCACGAAAATTTTCACAGGGGTAGGGTAAGGCTCAAAAGGGCTAGGCCTATTGTTTTCAAAGATGCCCGCAATATATTTAGGGTTTGAAATGGACCAACAACTAAAAATGATCATGATAAAGGTCACAAAGGGAAACCAAAGGACATGAAATCTTGCATGAAGTTAGAGTTTAGGACGGCGGGTGGAATCGACCACTATTTTTGTGTGAAAAAATACCAACATTACTTACAGGCGATATCCGAAGTACACAAAATCCGAACTTTTATGCCTTTTTATGCTGATTTCGTTGACGAATATAGCCAAATATCGTAGACAAGCAAATCATATAGATGAGTCTAAATTTGGAATACAGAGAGGACTCTTACTTTTGGAGATGGTCGCAAAATATTTAGGGGTTCAAATAAACCAAAAATAGAAAAAATTTCCTGATCAAACAATTGAGGCCAATAAACACGTCTGAGAAGAGAGTTAAGGACAGGGAAGAAGTCTAGCATTTTGGATGACCATTTGATTATATTTAGCTGTAAAATAGACCACAACAACTAAGAGCACGATGAAGTGCGTAAATATTGGGCAAATATTCCTGGTCAAAAGCGAAATCTTCCACAATGGATTTGGACATAAGGGGGCTTCTAATATATTGTAGTGTTTGCCTTTGCTTACTTGTTTAATTTTACCTTTCGTCGCTGTTTGTCGATTTTTTCTATCAGCCTGTAATGTATTTGTAAAGAATTTCAAAACTCTACATTTTAACAGGCAGATATAGGGACAGAGAGATATATGGACAGACAGACGAACATAGCTAAATCGCCTTATCACTTTTTTCTGATCAGGAATATATATATATATATAATTTTTGTGGTTTTCGATGAATATTTCGTGGTGTTGCAAATGGAGCGTTAAATTGAATATACCCTCCATTGTATGGTAAAGGCTATAAAAATGCAACAGATTTTTAAAGTAAAGCTAAATTACGGGTGGGAAGAAAAAACTGCAACCAACTTCAGACTGGTGTCATTTCTAGGCCACTCGTCCGACAGCTGTAAATATTTCAGTGTTAATTATTCCATGACAGCTCATTACATTGTTTACAAGCGTACAAAATCATTTTGGTGAGAATTTTCCAGAAAAAAATTTATTCGTGATGGAATTCAAGGGTGATAGTGTGATTTCTTTATATTTGGCTGGAAAACCACAAGTGGCTATCGTTGGCTAAAGAGTTGTTTCTCATGGCCGAAAGTGGTAAACTGCCGAATTTGGTTTTCTCCGATGATAAAACATTCGTTGTCCAGCAGTTTGCAATCAAACAAAATGATCGTGAAAATGTGCAACTTCAGTTGACCACCAGAACTCAAGCGTCGACCATGGTGATGGTGTGGGCCGCCATAACAGCCGTTGGTCGCTCTCCGCTCATATTAAATGCCGATTATTACTCGAAAATATTCTGGAGGCCTTGGGCACGCATACATTTTGGCCACATTCCAACAGGACTCAGCACGCGCCACCCAAGAATGGTTACAAAATTAGGTTCCTCGCTTCATTTCCAGCGCACAATAGTCATCAAAATCTCCGGATACTAATGGACTATTGGGTCTGGAGTATTTTGGAAAGCAAGGTTGACACTAAAAAATACCAAAGTGTCGATCACCTCAAGCAAGCGCTTCGCCGGGAATTGGCCTCCGAGCAACATTTGGGCAGCGTGTGACGTTTTATTAGCTGTTTGAAGGTCATAATTCGTGCCAAGGGTGACCAATTCGAACAAATCTAATTGTTTTCTAAAATGTGATGATATTTTCGCCATTCGTTGCTTTCATTCATATTTTTTTTTTTAATGTAAAAATTATGGCGTTTGACTTTGTTGCAGTTTTTTTTATCTCATCCTGTATATGTGCATTGGCAAACTCTTCGTATTTTTATACCCTACAACACTATGTGTTGGGGGTATTATAAGTTTGATTGGGCCAAAAATTATGTAACACCACGAAATATTGATTTCCCACATAGGAAAGTATATATGGATCTTCCTAGCTCGCCGAGCTGAGTCGATCTAGCTATGTATGCCCGTCCGTCCGTCTGTCCGTCTGTCCATGTTAATTTGTAATCACTCTACAGGTCGCAATTATGGCCCGATCCGATTTGCACGAAGGTGTGGTTAGGGTCAGAATAGAAGCCTATTACTTTTGGAGATGATCGTCAAATGTTTAGGTGTTGAAATGGACCAAATACTGAAAAAATGTCGGATTTTGCAGTAGCTATACAGGTCGCAATTACAGACCAATCGACGCAGAATTTCGCAGGTAGCTAGTTTAGGGCGGGGAAGAGGCCTACCAATTTGGGTGGTCATCGGATAATATTTAGCGGGTAAAATATACCATATCTTTTTTGTTGAAAAAATTCAAAATTTTTCATTAAACCGCGAATATTTTAAATCCCGGCGAAATCCAAAGCCATGACAAGGTTACTTCTGATCTTCACATTGATATTAAGATCCAACAAATCGGATATATAGAAAAATATTTGCGATATATATGTCTATCAAAGAAGATATGCTTGAAAGATCTCATATATGTCGAGAACGGCTGAACTGATTTCGACTGTTCTCATTAATTCAGAATGGCCTCTTGGCAGGAAAGAAAAAACTTCTAAAAAAATCGCATAAAAATGTCTCTCTAAAGATGAAAATATTGATTTTGTAAAATTTTCTCATATTTTTTCAATTTTGTCATATTTTTGGCATATTTTCATTTTGAATTAAACATTTGGTAATATTTGTACAGCTAACAAAACTAAGTAGTTAGGATATCAGGATATCATATACAGATCGCATTTATGGCCCGAACCTTACGAAATTTTGCATGGGGATAAGATGAGGGTCAGAATAGAAGCCTACTCTTTTTGGAGATGATCGCCATATATTTAGGGGTTGAAATGGACCAAAAAAAAACTGCAAAATTGTCAGCAGGTCGTAATTATCGCCCGGTCCTCACGCACATTTGAATGGGGGTTACCGGACATTGCAAAAGCCAAGCAGTTTTGGATGGCCATCCAAAAATATTCAAGGAGTTTGCAAAGGAGTTTGCAAACTTTTGTAGACAAAATACGAAAATGTCCATTCCAGTGACTTTTTGGAGAATTCACAAATACAGGAAAGACGCACTTCTGACTATTTCGTTAACGCTGATATCGTTGAAGAATATAGTCAAATGTCTGTATCTCATATAGATGCGTTTCAGTCAAAAACCAATAATAAATGTTAATCTTTTGCCACTTCTGAGAGATTATAGGGCTTTGGGAAATATTGGTTCCAGATCTAGGAAGACCATTTAAGTGCAACATCTACCAATAAATTGGAAATGAGCAAATTAGTTTAAGTTGCTATTATTCGAAAATTAGAGAACGTTTTTCTTCTATTATTTGTCACAATATTTTGTGGAATTCTTTCGAGTATCTCGCCTATATAAACTGTATCGTTTATTGTAGTGTTGTAGGGTATTCAACGGTCGGCCCCGCTCGACTGTAGCCTTTGCTTACTTGTTGGTTAATAACAACCTTTGCACAAAATTGTTTGTGAACCTTCTATGGTTCCCAGAATACATTAAAAGCCTTAATCTTACGGCCAAGATTCTCGAAATGACTAAAATAAGGGAGTATGAATGTTGAACGACGTCGCGAGAGCAATCAAGAGAGCATCGAACACCATCTTCTGATCAGACAATTTTTAGTAGAAAGTTTACTAACCCCCAAACCACTAAAGCGATGGGTAATTGAGTTAAAAATGTTTAATGGTAAAATGTGTTTTAATAATTCATTTACTTGGTAGCACATATTAGGTGGATCACAACACCAAACCAATTGGTGTAGGTCGTGTACCGAACTTATTATGTATGCAGATCACAATAGTTTTATTTACGTCGCGTATGAATAGCAACAACTTCAACGAACATAAAAGTAAATCAGAATTGGATTGTATTGAAATTATTGAAATTGACCATTACCATTTTTCAAGAACATTTGTATGCCCTTCGGGAAAAAAGAATTAATTTAACGCTAGACAATTGTAGTATAAATAAGAAACCTACAGACCATAGTATTATCAGTTATCAACCAATTTTGAAGACTTAAACAAAACAAAACCAAAAAACCCACAAAATGTTCAAATTCGTAAGTTTCAAGTAGATCGATTTTATAATAGAAATTATATTATTTATTTCGTCCTTTTCGTAGGCCGTTGTCATTTTCGCCATCATTGCCTGTGCTGCTGCCAAGCCTGGTTTGGTTGCTCCCTTGGCTTACACTGCTCCTGCCGCCGTTGTTGCTGCTGCTCCAGCACCATTTGTCACTGCCACCAGCAGCCAATATGTTGCCCGTAACTACAATGGCATTGCCACCGCTCCAGTTGTCGCCCCTGTTGCCGCCCCTGTTGTAGCTAAGACTTTCGCTGCTCCAGTAGCCGCTGCCTACTCTGCCCCAGTCGTTGCCAAATACGCCGCCACCTATGCTGCTCCTTTCGCTTACTCCGCTCCCTTGACTTATGGCGCTGCTCCAGTTTTGTTGTAAAGTGGTTAATTGAAATATGCTGATCCGAAATAAACTCTTAAATAATGAAACGTAGAATTTGCTGTTTTAATTTAATATAAGTTATGATTATTGTTTATTTTAACGAATTTGGGTATTTGAAGTTTTAAGAAAATCGGAAACTCATTTCATATGTTCCAATAGTTATGATTATTTAATATACTTTTGTCTGTTAAAAGTTTTTTTTATACCCTACATCAAATAGTGGTAGGTGTATTATATCATTGTGCATTTCTTTGTAAAATGGAGAAGGAAGCGAGATGGACCCATAGTTACTTTTGAGGATCTTAATTGAAGCCGTCTGTCTTTCCGTCCGTGAGTCCGTCTGAAAAAAACTCAGGTCGTATTTTTTATACGATTGAAATTAAATTTTCCAAACACAGAATGATAAAGTTAATTTTTTTGGCCCAAGGACGAACCCGATAGATATTGGTGAGAATCGGGTGAAATTTAGATATATTCAAAGGTTTTCGGGTTAACTGTGCATCAAATGAAATGGACAATATCCGTCCTAATGACCTGAATTTTGGCACAACCGACCGAAGTAAGTATAGCCTAGAAGTAAGTACATCAAATTTGGTGAAAATCGGTTCGGATATAGCTATAGCTCCCATATATATGTTTCACCCGATTTGCACAACAAGGATATTTGATACCGGACATAAGATATAGCTCGAAAATATCTCTGCCAAATTTTATCGAGATTAATGGTACAGACCCCATATAATGGTACCAACCTTTTTTTTAGTATTTTGGTGATTTAAGCGACATTATTCACCGGAAATGTTTCAAATTTGGTATTTGAAGTTCGTAATGGATACTATAGCCTAAGACAGGAAATTTTCGGTTCAGGTCCACGCCTTCGTATAGCCCTAATATAACGGTTCCTACCGATATTCGGTATTTTGATGATTTTAGTAACATTATTCACCGGAAATGTTTCAAATTTGGTATTTGAAGTTCGTAACGGATACTACAGCCTATGACAGAAAATTGTCAGTGCAGGTCCACGTCTTCGTATAGACCCCAATATAAAGGTATTTACCGATATTCGGTATTTTGATGATTTTGCTAAATTATTCACCGATTTTTTCAAGCTTTTAATTTGAATATTGTTATGGCTTATGACAAAAGTTGCCTATGTATTCAGTATTTTTAATATTTAAACAGAATTTTTAACGGATTTTTTGAAAATTGCCAAGTTTGTTCCAAATGGTGGAGGATATTCAAAGGCTGGCCGAACTTACAGCTTTATTACTTGTTTAATATAGTTCTGCATATCATGCACTATACAGCAATGGTACTAGAGGTACAAAAATCGATTCAGAGTTGAATAGAGTTTCCAAATTGTGACTACTTTATAGCCATGCCATTCAAATAAGGTTCATAGCTGGCATGATCTTCTTCGCTTTAATTCCCAAATAAAAACTTTTTTTGTTAAGGGAGAACTACTAGATACGCATAGTGGTGTAGGGTACCATATAGTCAGCCCGCTTGACTTTTGACTTTTCCTTGCAAGTTATAGCTACATTTATAATGGATATTGTCATATTTCCCGTGTTCTGAGTTGGCTGTGTATAGAAATCCTCATTACAACAGTTTTGGGATCATAGATCACCATTTTCACCCAAGACCTCATATGTCAGCACCAAAGACTGGACCTACATTCGATTTTTTTTTTTGCAAGGAGCTGAAATACCTAATGAGAACCTGAAATATAAAATTGAAGCGGATTGGATATTGAGACCAAATCTTTCTAAATATCGAGTATCACGGAAACTGTTATTATGGGTAATTACTAAATGGGTACCCATTATAGTCCATTTCCAATACCAAACATCTCAGTCTAATTTCGTTCATTTATTATGAAAATTTTAAGTTCTACACTAATTTCAACAAATCAGGTAAATAAGCCAAGATTTTTATGCTGATCACCAATATATGTACGGTATGGAGTCTTCTGTGAATGTTTCTAGGTCCTGCACCCAGAATGATAAAATTAAATATGCTCCATTTTAATAGCTGAAGGTATGACAAGTAAAACGCGCTTAAAACTTTAAATGTTGAGGGTATTAAAAGTTCGGCATGGCGCCAGGTAAAGAAAATCTTTGAAAATAAAAGAATCGGTCAGTAAAAGGTCTTCAAAATACCGTAAAGTCGATGCTACCGATTTCCTGCTAAGGTGGTTGTTAAATATTGAGATTAAAATATCAAATTTGAAAAAAATTTGTTAAAATATAAGGAGATATTGCTTCCAACAGTCTTCGGCCACAGAAGGCAGAACTCATTACAAACTCTAGATACCAACATCTTAAACAATTCCGTTAGAAAATGTTGCTGAAATCATCAGAATTTCGAATATTGGAAGGTACTGTAATATGGGGGCTATACGAAAGCTTGAACCAGTATAGCCTGCCTTCTGACAAAATACATACATACATGTGCATATACAATTTTTGTCTTCTACCTCAATCCGTTGGAAATATAGCACGATTACAACACACGCCTTGACCCGGCCGAACTTAATTTTTATACCCTACAACACTATGTGTTGGGGGTATTATAAGTTTGATTGGGCCAAAAATTATGTAACACTTCGAAATATTGGTTTCCCACATAGGAAAGTATATATGGATCTTCCTATCTCGCCGAGCTGAGTCAATCTAGCTATGTATGTCCGTCCGTCCGTCTGTCCATGTTAATTTGTAATCACTCTACAGGTCGCAATTATGACCCGATCTTCACAAAATTTAGAATGGAGGTGGTTCTGAGGCCAGAATAGAACCCTATTTCTTTTGGAGATGATCGCATAATATTTAGGGGTTTAAATTGACCAAAAACTGACAAATTTCCTAATTTTGCAGTTGTTCTACAAGTCGCAATTATAGACCAATGGATGAATTAAGCATGGGACTAGAGCTTAGGGCTGGGCAGAAGTCTTCCAATTTTGGTGGTCATCGGATAATATTTAGTGGGTGAAATAGACCATAACATTTGTGTTAAATAAAAGTCAAAATTTCCATTAAACCGCGATTATTTTTAATCCCGGCGAAATCGCAAGTAGACGAACAGGTCAATTCTGACCGTTACGTAGATGCCGATAGTAAATATATCGGTTATATATAGCAAAATATATATAATGTGTATATACAAAGGAAGGGGAAGTTAGTTGGTATGCTTCTATCTCAAGAATGGTTGGGCCGATTTTGACAACTTTTGTCAATTCAGAATGCCCTCTTGACATAAAAGTATAAAATCTAAAAAAATCGCAGAAAAATATGCCAATAAAGATGTTAATATAGATTTTGTAGTATTTTGTGACATATTTTTATTTTTTTCAAATTTTTTATCGCATGCGATTTTTTCAATTTTACTTATAATATTTTGTAATAATTTTTCACCTTACAACACAGGTTGGGGATATTATATAAGTATTGCAAATATCGTCCGATCCTCACGAAAATTTTCACAATGGTAGGTTTGGGTTCAGAAGGGCTAGGCCTATTGTTTTCAAAGATGTCCGCAATATATTAGAGGGTTGAATTGGACCAACAACTAAAAATTTTCCTGATTTTGCAGCCGTTATAAAGGTCACAAATAGAAACCAAAGGACACGAAATCTCGCATAAAGTTAGAGTTAGGACAGCGGGTACAATGGACCACTAATTTTGTGTGAAAAATACCAGCATTATGTACAGGGAATATCCGAAATACACAAAAGGCGAATTTCTGGCTTTTTTATGCTGATTTCGTTGACGAATATAGCCAAATATCGTAGACAAGCAAATCATATAGATGAGTCTAAATTTGGAGACACAGAGGGGCTTCTTGCTTTTGGAGATGATTGCAAAATATTTAGGGGTTCAAATTAATCAAAAACAGAAATGTTGTCCCGATCACACAATTGAAGCCAATCGACACGCCTGTGAAGAGAGTTAAGGATAGGGAAGAATTCTAGCATTTTGGATGACCATTGGATTATATTTATCTGTAAAATGGACTACAACAACTAACAGCCCGACGGAGTGCATAAATGTTGGGCAAATGTCCGTAGTCAAAATCCTAATTTCAAAAGCGAAATCTTCCAATATGGATTTGGAAATAAGGGGGCTTCTAACTTATTGTAGTGTTGTAGGGTATCACATGGTCGGCCCCGCACGACTATAGCCTTTGCTTACTTGTTTTTATTTGTTCATATTAATTTCGGCAAATTTTGATCATTTGAGTTCTAGGTAAGAAGAAACCAAACTTACGAAAAATTATCAATATACCCCCATGTTTTTGGTATAACCCCCACGTGAAGGTATCCCTTGATTCTAGGAATTACCGGGGTCTTGACCACATTTTTCAATTGATTTGGCCTTTATTTGGCATCTTGGTTTCTAAGAGGTTAAAAACCTATTCCCAGAAAATTTTCAATGTAGGTCAATGGTTCGGGTACAGTCCATATAGAGATACCTCCTGATTTTACCACATTTTCCACCACGATTTTGCTAAAAATGTGTATTTAGGTTACTTTGCGGGTAGAGAACAATCCTACATAAAATGTCAAAATAGGTCTGCATTTTGATATAGCTCTCACATAACGGAACCCCCCAAGTCCATTTTCCCAGTTTATAAATCAATTTCCAAATGTAAATTGAACAGGAATATAGTTAAACCATATCATGGACGAATACTTCGCGGGGATAGCGTGAGCCCATTTCCGACCTTTCACACTACTTAATTGACATGTGTTATTTATAAATGTGTGTACGAATATGTGGTAGCCAAAATTGTATATTCAATTTCATGACCACTAACTTCAATGGAATAATTATACAAATTTACCACTACATAAAGACGTGTTACGAATTCAAATAAAACAACAAACACTTGTTTTATGTTTTTGGACATGAGAAAATTTAAGAAAAGGAAAAAAATGTCTAAATCTGCTTATCACTGCCGCTCAACTATAAATTACGTAGTTTACTTTCAAAACTGTATCAGAACTATTCGACTTTGCCGAGTAATCACAAACTAAACAAAACAAAATGTTCAAATTCGTAAGTTTAAAAATTTCAAAAATGTAGGGAGTAAAATTAATGTTTCTTTTTTAATTTCTTAAAAGGCTGCTGTCCTTTTCGCCATCATTGCTTGCGTTGCCGCCAAGCCTGGTTTGGTTGCTCCCCTGGCTTACACCGCACCCGCTGCTGTTGTTGCCGCTGCCCCAGCTCCATTTGTCACCGCCACCAGCAGCCAATATGTTGCCCGTAACTACAATGGCATTGCCACAGCCCCAGTTGTTGCGCCCGTTGCCGCCCCTGTTGTTGCCAAGACACTCGCCGCTCCAGTAGCTGCCGCTTACACTGCTCCTGTTGCAGCTGCCTACTCTACCCCTGTTGTTGCCAAATACGCCGCCACCTATGCTGCTCCATTCGCCTACTCTGCTCCCTTGACCTATGCTGCTCCAGCTCCAGTTTTGTTGTAAACAATAATTAAATTATTGCCATAGATAAATAAACGATTTGCTTTAGGAAATTAAATATATATTAGCTTCAATGTGCTATATGGGAAGAAACGACAAAAAATTACACACTGACTCGATTTTATTTTTTTACCTAAATTCGATAGTAAAACAAGTAAAGAAAGTCTTAAAGTCGGGCGGAGCCGACTTTATGATACCCTACACCACTTTGCTAATTTAGTAGAGCTCCACATAACAATTAAAAGTTTTTATGGGAGAATTAAATCATACACGCTATGATTATAATTATAACTTAAAGTTCAAAGGACTAAATATGCCGAAGCATTTGTATCTTTTAAATTCGGAATTGTATTGTCCAGTTGGTGCACAATTAATTTGAAATCGGATAAAGATATATATGGGAGCTATATCCAAATCTGAACCGATCTCGATAAAATTTGGCAAAGATATTTCTGAGCTGTATTTGATATATTTCCCTGAATATCGTTGTTACGGAGTGCATATTACGGTTGTGGGTAACAAATATAACAAATCGGATAAATAATATATATGGAAGCTATAGCTATATCTGAACCGATCGTCACCAAATTTGACATACTAGCTTCTAGACTCAATTCGGTCGTAAGTGCCAAATTCCATCCCATTTGGACAAATATTAGACGTTTGGTGCACAATAAAAGGTAAATCGGACGAAGTTATATATGGGAGCTATATCGAAATCTGAACCGATCTCGATAAAATTTAGCAAATGTATTTCTGAGGTGCATTTGATATATTTCCCCAAATATTGTTGTTGCAGAGTGCATATTACGGCGGCGGTGGGCAAAAATAACAAATCGGATGAACAATATATATGGGAGCTATAGCTATATCTGAACCGATTTCGATCAAATTTGGCATACATATTTTCAGACCTAATTTGGGTGAATATGCAAAATTCCATACAATTCGGGCTGATATTACACGTTTGGTGCACAATACAAGGCAAATCGGACGAAGATATATATGGGAGCTATATCTAAATTTTGACCGATTATTTCCAATTTCAATAGGGTTCGTCCTTGGGCCAAACAAATGATCTGTGCAAAATTTCATCTGGATCGGGCAATAAATGCGACCTGTACTTTGTTTACAAAAATACATGGACAGACGGACAGACGGACGGACGGACAGACGAACGGACGGACATGCATAAATCGACTCAGAATGTGATTCTATGCAGATCATCAAAATGAACTATGGGTCTATCTCGTTTCCTTCTGCCTGTTACAAACAAATGCACAAAGACATAATACCCTGACCACCTTGTGGTGTAGGGTATAATTATAAGGGCTTTTAGTGCCAAAAAATCACCACTTTTATCTTGAGACACACACGTATTAAAACAAAAGAGTCGGCTTACCCTCTTGCAAGGACAGTTTTCATTGGGTACAGATAAATAATAAGAAAGGCTCCTTTTATACATTTGCACCCGACACCACACTGTGGCACAGGAGATTATGTCTTTGTCCATTTTTTGTAACACGCAAAAGGAAACGAGATATACACACAGTTTTTTTATGATCGTCTGTCCATGTATTTTTGTAAGCAAAGTACAGGTCACATTTGTTGTTCGATTGAGATGAAATATTCCACAAATCATATTTTTTTTTTTTTTTTTTGGCCCAAGGACGAACCCTTTTGAAATTGGTGATAATAATTTCTTCGTCCGATTTTAATTTTATTGTATAATACTAGCCCAAATAATATTTTGGCATATTTGACCGAATTTTTAGCTTAAAAGCAAATTATCAAATTTCGCGAAAATTGGTTCAGATATAGCTATATCCCGCATACATGTGTTTAATTCTATTCGGTTTAAAGACCTCACTTTGTCATTATGTTTGTAACATCCCTAAATATTCGCAGTAGACCCATAAAGTATATGTGTTCACGATCAGCATAAAATTCTAAGTCGATTAAACGATGTCCGTCTCTCTGTCTGTCCGTTTGTCTGACTGTTCACATCACGATACAACCCAAACAAGTAAGCAAAGGCTATAGTCGTGCGGGGCCGACGATGTGATACCCTACAACACACAATATGTTCCACGTTTCCTTATTTCCAAATCCATTTTTGAAGGTTTCGTTTTGAAATAATGTCAAGGAGCTCTGCCCAGACTCGTTGAATTTGGCCAATATTCATTTACTCCGTCTTGTTTTATTCAAAACAATTTCACACGAAATGATCATTCAACATGCTAGACTTCTTCCCTGTCCTTAACTCTCTTCTGATGCAAAATTCCGTGTCGATTAGTTTTCAATTTGTGGCGACTACAAATTAGAAAAATTTAATTTTTTTAGTCCATTTGAACCCCTATAGAAGAACACTAGGCTTTAATTCCGACCCTAACGCTATCCCCATGCAAAATTTCGTAAGGATCGGACGATAATTGCAATATACATATAATACCCTTAGAGCGTAGTGTTGAGGAGTGTAAAAATTTAGAAAATTTTCAATTCAAAATTTAAGTTAAATTGAAAAAAATCGCATGCGATAAAAAATATGAAATAAATTGAAAAAAATGGAACAAAAGATATTTACTCATTTATTGGTATGTTTTTCCGCGATTTTCTTAGATTTTATCCTTTTCTTGCCATTCAGAATTGAGGGGAATTGTGAAAATCGACCCAGCGGTTCTTGACTTATGAGCAGAATAAATAAGATCTCTTTCTTTTACATATATATTGTTCCTATTTTGTTATATATCCGATTTCTTGGCTAACAGCATCGCTTTAATGGTCAGGAGTGACCTTTTAATGTAGTTGTGATTTGGCTGGGGTTAAAAATATTCGCGGTTTAATGGAAATTTAGGGTCTATTTTACTCGCTTAATATTGTCCGATGGTCGCCCAAATTGGTAGGCTCCTGCCCAGGTCTAACCTCTAACTCCATGTAAATTCCCGCGTCGTTTGGTTCATAATTGTGGCCTATAGAGCAACTGCAAAATCAGGAAATTTTTCAGTTTTTGGTCCATTTTAACCCCTAAATATCGTGCGATCTTCTCCAAAAGAAATAGGGTTCTATTCTGACCTTAACCCCACCTTCATTTTCAATTTCGCGAGGATCGGTTCATAATTGCGACCTGTAGCTTGATTACAAATTAACATGGACAGACTGACAGACGGACAGACGGACGGACTGACATACATAGTTAGATCGACTCATCTCGGCTTTCCTATGTAGGAAATCAATATTTCGAGGTGTTACATAATTTTGACCCAATCAAACTTATAATACCCCCAACACATAGTGTTGTAGGGTATAATCAAAATTTGGCAGAACAATTTGTATTGCGTCTAGGATGGTTTGTATTGAAAATGAAATATATAGGTCTACGTTATAACGGTGCATCCGGATATTCGGTATTTTGATGATTTTGTCTAAAAATTTTTATTTGTAGGGTATAATGAGAAACATTGTACATATAGGTCCACGTTTTTGTATAGACCCATATAACGGTACCTCTCGATATTCGGTATTTTAATGATTTTTTTTCCACAGATTTATCTTAAAATTGGTATTTGTAGGTCATAATGGGTTCTTGCCCCGGTGGCGAAGCATTGTATGTATAGGTTCACATTTTGGTATAATCGTCATATAACGGTGCCTAACGATATTCGGATGTTTCACGGATTTGTCTAAAAATTGGTATTTGTAGGTCAGAAGGGTTTCCAACTCCTGCTGCGGAACATATTATGTATAGGTCCTCACTTTCGTATAGGCCCCACATAATGGTACCTCCGGATATTTAGTATTTTTATAATTTTTACCACATTTTCCCAAGGATTTGACAAAAAATTGGTATTTGTAGTTCGAAATGGTTTCTAGCTCCAGAGGTGGAAAAATTAGGTCCCCGTTTTCCTATAGCGCACATATAATGATACCCACAGATATTCGGTATTTTGATAATCCTATTCTCATTTACCGACGAAATTGTTTCAAACTTCGTATATATGGTTGATGACAATCTCTGAAGTATAAAATTGTCTATAAAGTTTCTCGTTTTGGATTGACCCCCATTATAATGGCCTAACCCACTTTATGGTTTCTTGAAAAGTCTAACAGCATTATTAAAACGGTCTTACTGGTGTTTCTTGTTTGAAGTGGAATACATTTTAATTCGGATATTTATATATAAAAGTATTTTCTTTACCCCATAGCGGAGGGTATAAAAAAGTTCGGCTCGGTCGAACTTAATGTTTTTTTTTTACTTATTGAAAACATAACAAATTAAACAGTTTTTTTCCGACCTGTGTATATCTTCAGCCAATGTCCATTTATTTAAATCTATTTGACTTGTGTTGTGATTATACAATCTGACGACCCTATGAGGGTGATTCCGAAGGAGTTGGCCAATATTGTCCATTTCGTATTTGAACTGAGCTAAATATAAATATTACAACAATCTAAATTTGAACTAAATAAACTACCTCCTTCGCTTTGTATGAAATATATAATTTTTGGTAAATGTTGAAATGTGTGAGATGTATCAGATATGCTGGACCAAAAATCCAGTTTGACGAGAATTGCTGACTTATTTCGCATATTTTGAGAGATATAAATATTAAAAAAATTGCGACACTCTATTGGGAGGTACCAGAACGAATGTGTCGATATCTGTCATCTTCATGCTACGAGTAACTTAATGGTCTATTTTAAGTGTTTTAATGCGATACTTAGAAACGTAATGGATATATCACATATATTAACAAGTAAAAATCTGTAAGTTCGGCCGGGCCGAACATTTAATACCCTGCACCATTTGGAACGAATTTGAAAATATTCAAAAAATAAAATCCTTTAAAATCTTCAAAATACCGAATATAGCCGTTATATTAGGGTCTATATGACGACGTGGACCTACATAGGCAACTTTTGTCATAAGCCATTAGAATATTCAAATGCGAAACTTCAAAAAAAGAATCGGTGAATAATATAGCTAAAATCATCAAAATGCCGAATATCGGGAAGTGCCGTTATATGTACTATGTGTGGTCTAAAATGTATATTTCGAGGTGTAACAAACGGAATGACAAATTTAATGGAAAACAACAACTTAAATTTTTAGATTTAATAAATTAATAGTTTATTTCGAATCATATCATTATTTGGGAAAATACATTGATAGAGGAACGCTTCAAAAAGTGACTGTAGGCAAATAATAAAAATTACTTATAAGTCTGTCTTGCTTCCTTCTTCACGTTGAACACATAAACTTAATGTGCTTATTACAGCACGTTGTAGGACATGAAATTATAATGCTAGAAACTAGAATTTATATCATATTATAACTACCTTAGAAGAAATATCTCGATAATTTCTCAAAGCCATTCTTGTCCTAACCCCAATTCTATTGTAAAATTTTATATGCCGATTCTAGTTTAAAGGGTTACATACCTCGAACAACCATATGTTTAAATACTCTACACCACATATTTTGTTAATGGAAAACAACAACTTAAATTTTTAGATTTAATAAATTAATAGTTTATTTCGAATCATATCAGGGAAATTTTCGTCGAGAGTATTTACAACAAGACTGGTGCAGGGGCGGCGGCGGCATAAGTCAAAGGAGCGGAGTAGGCGAAAGGAGCAGCATAGGTAGCTGCGTATTTAGCAACTACTGGAGCCGAATATGCGGCAGCAACGGGAGCTGTGTAAGCGGCGGCTACTGGAGCGGCGAAAGTCTTGGCAACAAGGGGAGCAGCAAGAGTCTTGGCTACAACAGGGGCGGCAACGGGAGCAACAACTGGAGCAGTGGCAATGCCATTGTAGTTACGGGCAACATATTGGCTGCTGGTGGCAGTGACAAATGGAGCAGGAGCAGCAGCAACAACAGCTGCAGGAGCGGTGTAGGCCAAAGGAGCACCAATCAAACCAGGCTTGGCAGCAGCACAGGCAATGACGGCAAAAATAACAACAGCCTGTAATCGAATAAATTTAAAGTTAATTCCTGCATTTCCTCTAACACAAATTTCAATTTAAACTTACGATTTTGAACATTTTGTTTTTGATATGTTTGATTTGAGTGAGACTTCAAGTTATTGATAACTGATAATAATCACAATTGCTTCTTTCATATTTATACTCGTTGTGAAGCTTACCAAAATTGTGTCCATGTCTTTTAAGGCTGCCCTTCAAAATTGTTCTTGAATTTGTCTTTTGTTAGTGATCAGTTAATTCGAAATACTTCATTTTTGTTATCATAACTGTTGGTAAAACGGTTAGGTGGCCTTTAAAAAAATGTAAACAAAAAGCGGTTGTGTGCTGCATTCGAAATAATTTCGATTAATTTAATATTCTGTCTGTTTAAGACCTACGTCAATTGAAAATGTGTTGTGAGTCCCTATGTTGAGCCAAGGAGGCTTTACCATCAAAAATATAGGCACAAAGCAATGTTTTTCACATTGATTTAGGAAATCATAAAACGGTAATTTAAAGGCAAACATTAGGGAAAAACTTAAAATTTACAGATGATTATACCCTCTACCTTATGGCTGCTGTGGCTATACAATTTGTTTTTAATTCCATGTTTTTTTTTTTTTTTGATTTTGGAGTCGGTCTAGCTATGTCCGTCTGCCTGTTAACTTTCGCCAAAACTTGGCACAAGTGAAAATTTTCTCAAATTTTATATCGATTTCGAAATTCATGGGTATACAGGGAGAGATAAAAAACAGCAACAAAGTCAAACGCAATAATTTTTAATTTTTTTTTTTAAATTTTATTGAATGAAAGCAAAACATTTCGGAAATAGCATCAACTTTTAGAATATGTTTAGATTTCTTCGAATTGGTCACCTTTGGCACGAATTATGACCTTAAAACGGCCAATGAAGCCGTCACACACTGCCTTAATGTTGCTCTGTGGTATTTTGGCCCATTCCCGGCGAAGCGCTTGCTTGAGGTGATCGACACTTTGGTATTTTTTAGTGCCAACCTTGCTTTCCAAAATAATCTAGACTCAATAGTCCAACGGATTGGTATTCGGAGATTTTGGTGGCCATTGTGCGCTGGAAATGAAGCGAGGAACCTCATTTTGTAATCATTCTTGGGTGGCGCGTGCTAAGTGTCATGGTGCTGAGTCCTGTTGGAATGTCCAAGGTCTGTGGCCAAAATGTTTGCGTGCCCACGGCTTTAATACACCCTCAAGAATATTTTCGCGATAATAATCGGCATTTATTCTGGTTATTATATCGGCATAACCATGTCCGGCGCTTGAGTTCTGGTGGTCAAACGAAAGTGCACATTTTCAGTTGACCTCTTTGGCAAGTAAACACGATCATTTTGTTTGTTTACAAACTGCTGGACAACGAATGTTTTCTCATCGGAGACGGAGAAAACCAAATTCGGCACTTCACAACTTTCGGCCAATCGAAGCAATTCTTTAGCTCTTTTGAGTCTATTTTCTTTTTTTTGCGGTGTAAGTTCTTGCACTTTTTGGCTGTACCCCGAGCTCATTTTTCAATATTTGCCGAATGAAATATTGCGATATGTTTCCATTTCTGCAAATGTTCCTGTTTTCTTCCGTCCACATCCTAGACATCGGGCTACGCTACCAGTATCACCGTAACAAGGGAGGTACGAGACACAAAGGAGTATTCATATTTAAATGCTGGAATACTCTAACGATAGCCACTTGTGGTTTTCCAGCCAAATATAAAGAAATCACACTATCACACTTGAATCCCATCACGAGTAACTTTTTATACCCTCCACCAAAAAAAGTATGGAGGGTATATTAAGTTCGTCATTCCGTTTGTAACTCATCGAAATAATCATTTTAGACCCAACAAAATATATATATTCTTGATCAGCGTAAAATTCTAAGACGATTTAGCCCTGTCCGTTCGTCTGTTGTAATCACGCTACAGTCTAAACGAATTAGATAGGAAGCTAAAATTTTGCACAGATCTCTCTTTTGTCTGCAGGCAGGTCAAGTTCGAAGATGGGCTATATCGGTCTACGATATCGTATAGCCCCCATACAACGGTACCCCCTATATTCGGTATTTTGATGATGTTAGCCACATTTTTCAATGGAATTGTCTGAAAATCCACACAAGTAGTTCCTTGTGGGTACTTTATACCTCGGCAGAGAATTATCTATATAGGTCCACAATATCGTATAGCCTCCATATAACGGTACCCCCCGGTATTCGATGATTTTAGCCACATTTTTTAATGAAATTGTCTTAAAATCCACACAAGTAGTTCCTTGCGAGTAATTTACCCCCTGAGAGAGAATTTTCTGTACAGGTCCACGATATCGTACATCCCCCATATAACGGTACCCCCCGATATTCGGTATTTTGATGATTTTACCCACATTTTTCAACGGAATTGTCTGAAAATCCACACAAGGAGTACCGTGTGGGTACTTTATACCTCGGCAGAGAATTATCTATATAGGTCCACAATATCGTATAGCCCCCATGTAACGGTACCCCCGATATTCGGTATTTTGATGATTTCACCCACATTTTTCAACGGAATTGTCTTAAAATCCACACAAGGAGTTCCTTGTGGGTACTTTATACCTCGTCAGAGAATTGTCCATATAGGTCCACGATATCGTATAGCCCCCATGTAACGGTACCCCCACGGTATTTGGTATTTTGATGATTTTTGCCACATTTTTCAATGGAATTGTCTGAAATTCCACAAAAGGAGTCCCTTGTGGGCATTTTACTTCCTCAAAAATAATTGTGTATATAGGTCCACGATATCGTATATCCCCCATATAACGGTACCCCCCGATATTCGGTATTTTGATGATTTTACCCACATTTTTCAACCGAATTGTCTAAAAATCTACACAAGGAGTTCCTTGTGGGCACTTTATACCTCGGCAGAGAATTATCTGTATAGGTCCCCAATATCGTATAGCCCCCATATAACGGTACCCCCCGATATTCGGTATTTTAATGATTTTACCCACATTGTTCAACGGAATTGTCTGAAAATCCACACAAGGAGTTCCTTGTGGGTACTTTATACCTCGGCAGAGAATCATCTATATAGGTTCACAATATCGTATAGCCCCCATATTACGATACTCCCCTATATTATACCTCGAGCAACCATTTGTTTCAATTCTGTACACCGCACATTTTGTGCTATGAATTTTAATTTTCCAGCAAACATACGCAACGTATTTTATATGAACGTCATGATTGGTCAATGCACACACAGCATGATAAAAAGTTAAATAATTTGCAAATAACGGCATTCATTCCGCCCACACTTCTTTAGTATAAAGGCTTAGCTGATTTCCAAATATGGCATCAGATATTCTTGTGTTCTCACAGCATTGACAACAACCCAAAAACCTATTAACATGTTCAAATTTGTAAGTTTTAAAATTTGGCATAGGGTACGGTTTAATTTACTAAAAAGTTACCTTTGAATTTTGCAGGTCGTTGTTATTTTCGCCATCATTGCCTGCGCCGCTGCCAAGCCTGGTTTGGTCGCTCCCTTGGCTTACACCGCTCCCGCTGCTGTTGTTGCTGCTGCCCCAGCTCCATTTGTCACTGCCACCAGCAGCCAATATGTTGCCCGTAACTACAATGGCATTGCCACTGCTCCAGTTGTTGCTCCCGTTGCCGCCCCTGTTGTAGCCAAGACGTTCGCTGCTCCCCTTGTTGCCAAGACTTTCGCCGCTCCAGTAGCAGCCGCTTACACCGCCCCCGTTGCTGCTGCCTACTCTGCCCCTGTTGTTGCCAAATACGCCGCCACCTATGCTGCTCCTTTCGCCTACTCTGCTTCCTTGACCTATGCTGCTGCCCCAGCTTCAGTTTTGTTGTAAAAACTTTCGAGTCTGACCTAGCGACAATAAAAGAAATGAACGACTTATAATACTATTTAAATCATTATTGTTTTAATTCATATTTGCTTTGGCATGCTGGCCTGCTTAGATAGCAGTACAGTAATTTCACCGCCTTAACCACCTTTAAAATTGATTCGACTATAGGTAGTAAAATTGATCAGTCAATGAGTTTACTAACTAATTTTGACAGTCGCAACTGCTTACATATCACCCTACTAAGTTAATATTTTTACCGGGCTATAAGGTAGCAATACATTTTCCACTAGTATTAAATACATAAGTCGAAGAAGAATTTGTTCTCCGTATGGAACAGCTGGGGTGTATTTTTGTTTAATATATAGATTTGACAACCGCAAGTCGTGAACACACGATCTACTTATTGGTATATAAACATACTAATAATTGTTCATAATTTGAACCAACTGTGGATGAGGGAGGACTGATAATTGCAATGATATGCAATACTTGGACTTAGTTCTGATCTTCCTCCAATTGCTTTGCGATTCATTATCAGCAACATTACATAAAAATCAGGCCGAATAGTGAATATCGTCCACCATTTGAATCGAATTTGGCAATTTTCAAATAATAAAAACAGTTAAAAATACGTGGACCTGCATAGGCGACTTTTATCATAATATTCAAATGCGAAACTTGAAAAAAATCGGTGAAAAATGTAGCTGAAATCGTTAAAATACCGGATATAGGGAGGTACCATTGTATGGGGACCATACCAAAACTTGGACTTGCACAGACAATTTTCTATCATAGGCTGTAGTATCCATGACTAACTTCTAATACTACATTTGAAACAATTCCGGTGAATAATTTCCCTATAATAATCAAAATACCGAATATCGGGAGGCACCGTTATATGGGGGCTATACGAAGACGTGTACTTGTATAGACAATTTTATGTCATAGGCTGCAGTATTATTACGAACTTCAAATACCAAATTTGAAACAATTCCGGTGAATAATGTCCCTAAAATAATCAAAATACCGAATATCTGGAGGTAACGTTATATGGGTGCTATACAGATATGTGGACCTACACAGACAATTTTCTGTCACAGGCTGTAGTATCCGTTACGAACTTCGAATACCAAATTTGAAACAATTCTGGTGAATAATGTCCCTAAAATCATCGAAATACCGAATATGGGGATATACCATTATATGGCGGCTACACCATTTTCAATACCAACCTTGAAATTGTTCTGCTAAATTTTGAATCTCTACGTCAAATAATATGGGATGTATCGTGATTTCAACAGACAGACAGACGGACAGACCGGCATCGTTTAATCGACTTAGAATTTAATTTATGGCTGTTACAAACGGATTGAAAACCTAATATACCCTCCTTTTGAGGGCGGAGGGTATAACAAGTAAAAAACTGTAAGTTCGTCCGGGCTGAACTTTGAATACCCTCCA